GGGGGGGTCCCCAGCCAGCATGTCCGTTGGGTGGCTGTGAGCTGCGTCCCCCACGATGCCCAGAAAACGGCTCACCCCGGGCAGGAGCCTCTGAAATAGTCACAGTCGCCAAGAGCAGCTGCCTCTTTACACCCCGGCATCGCGCCGGTTCTCACGTGGCGAGTCGTGCTCAGCGCTTGGGGGGCTGCCAGTCTAGAAAATAAAAGAGAACCGACGCACGTTTGGCACAAGCCCGGCTGGCCGCAGCAGCGAGGCACGGGCCGCTGCGTGGCACCGTGGTGCCGGGGCTCACCCTGTGTTTGAGGTAGGAGAGGTACGTGTCCCAGCCCAGCGTGATGACGTTGATGTAAACTACCCGGTACTTGGGTGGGACGAAGAGGAAATTCACGAGCTGAGCCGCCGGCCAGACGCACCAGTCAGCCTGCCGAGAGCAAAGAGCAGCCAGGCGCTCCCTGCCAGAGCCCCGTCCCCACCGGGGGTGGGAGGGAGAGCTTGGCATGGTGTATTTACCTTGTAAAACTCCCAAAATTTCTCCTTCAGCTCATCCCAGCTCTCCTCTAGAGACTGGCCCTCCAGCGTGCCCATGCCTGTGGGGACAGACAGACGTCAGTGGGGATGGGAGCACTCCCAAGGCTCCACGTGGGGGGTGTGTGGATGGGAATTGCTGTGCTGTGACACTGATAAATTCCCAAAAACTCCCCACTGTGGGAGGGAAGGGCAGCACCGGCACCAGCCAGAGGGAGGGAGCCCTGGGAAACCCACATTTGCCCCACCGAGGGAGGGTGACAGGCGTCACGCTGGCACCCATGCGCCGTAACACGTCACCGGCAGCGCAGGCCACACTCAATTCTCAGTGACACAAGGCGGGTGCCGCCACGTACCGAGGAAATACCAGGCACCCAGGGCGGGCGATGCCACCAGCTGGTCGATGAGGACTTTCTTCAGGACGGTTTTGAGCCCCCGCACGCCCCGCGCCGGGAAGGCAGCGTCCAGCCAGAGGTACCAGTA